CACACACACACACACATATATATATATAAACACAAACACATACATTTTGCACCCCAGTGGCACAGCGGTAAGTCTGAGTGCTTATAATGCTAAAACCATATATTCGATACCTGTGGTACGTACAGCACAATTAGCCCATTGTGTAGCTTTGTGCTTAACTCTAAACAAACAAAGAACTACATTTGTTCTAATTACAACTTTATAAACTCTGTATTTACTAATTCTTCCAAGGTGATCAGTTGAAATTCAAGCGTCTTTAATTCTTTATTGAAATCAGGTGAAATATTTTCAGACACTAGTAACACAATGTCAGACTAACACAATGTCAGAATAACACAATATCAGACTAACACAATGTCAGAATAACACAGTCAGAATAACGCAATATCAGAATAACACAATGTCAGAATAACACAATATCAGACTAACACAATGTCAGAATAACACAATGTCAGAATAACACAATATCAGACTAACACAATGTCAGAATAACACAATATCAGACTAACACAATGTCAGAATAACACAATGTCAGAATAACACAATATCAGACTAACACAATGTCAGAATAACACAATATCAGACTAACACAATGTCAGAATAACACAATATCAGACTAACACAATATCATAATAACACAATACCAGACTAACACAATATCAGACTAGCACAGTCAGAATAACACAATATCAGAATAACACAATATCAGACTAACACAATATCAGAATAACACAGTCAGAATAACACAATATCAGAATAACACAATGTCAGAATAACACAATATCAGACTAACACAATATCAGAATAACACAATGTCAGAAGAACACAATATCAGAATAACACGACGCTCGACTTACAATCTGAGGGTCGCGGGTTCGAATCCATCCCTGTCACACCAAACACGCTCGCCCTTTCAGCCGTGGGGTACGTTATAATGTGACGGTCAATCCCACTATTCGTTGGTAAAAGAATGGCCCAAGAGTTGGCGGTGGGTGGTGATGACTAGCTGCCTTCCCTCTAGTCTTACACTGCTAAATTAGGGACGGCTAGCGCAGATAGCCCTCGTGTAGCTTTGCGCGAAATTCAAAAACACACAAGCAAACATCGTTCCTTCAAGGGATTGAGACT